CTGCATACAATTAAATCAACTTTATTTAGAAAGAAAATACAGTAGTGCATACGAAAAAGTGAAAATATAACCTGTCCACATAAATGTAGGACATCAGTGTGCCAATGGTCATATTGCACTCAAAATTGAAGTCCAGAAATTTGGTTAAAAGTTAGCTTTTCCCCATTTTGGCAATCAGTTCATCACAAATCTTTGTTAATTCTTCTATCTCTTTATTCTAAAAAACAAACAGACAAACAAAATTAACAGCAAAAAACGCTATCTTTTAAAACTAAACATTAATCCTTCTCTTTCTTTTATTTGATCTTACAGGGAGGAAAGTAGTATTTTTATTACTGAGAACAAAAAACCCGATCTCAAATACTGAACTCTAGCATGTACGAAATACAGTATATTCCAACAATGTCCTTTATCTCCATACAGAACCTTTGCCTAGTTTAATATGGCTAATTATGGCAATCCCCACTACTAGTTTAAAATAATGATTTGGAAAATATTTAATATTGTATTGGTCTTTATTACATTACTTTTGTCTCCTTTTCTAAAGGTTTAAATCTTTTGGGATTTCAGGTTAGTTTTGGACAAATGACAAATTACAGTGAGTATAAGGGGGGCAGGGACTTACCATAGAGCAGACAAATACCTGTGTGCCTGGTCTTACTTCACAATCTTCTTCTCATGTCTCTACACCACAATCAGTAAATACTAAAGCAGGGCAGCTTGCCACTGAATGAAATAGGGTTACAATGCCAGTTTAGCCTTTACTTACTGAGGGATGAGTGGGGAGATGGAAATTTATTATGGACCAGCTGCTCTGTGCTATGTCCCAGCCCCTTTTAATCACTGTAAATTGCTTGTTTGTCCATACCTCAAGTACAAAACACTGGAAGTGAGCAGTTATAGTCAAGAGACCATGAGATATACATGGGTTCTAAGATCCACTGATGTCTTACACTGCCCATATTTGTAGTTGATCATTGTAGGTCTATAAATTTAAGCTGATTACATCAATTAAGAGGTTAAAATTATAGCTAAAATTAAGAACCAACATGACCTGCTCAGAGTAAAGTAACGGTCTAAATCCTTTCACAAGTAGCAGGAAGCTTTGACTGAATTAGGACTTCTATACAGGTCCCTACATTTGTGGAAAATTTGCTTATAAGAAACTCTAACAGATACAAATTGGTGCAAGTCCATAATACAAAACCAACATGTTAAAAAAAATCTGCAGAATCTCTTGCACTAAAAAGTAGGAATGGCTTAAGCACAGACTAAAGAAGTATGTGCAATTTGTAACTTACTGTACAACACAATGCTTTGCATAATGAAACATGTTTACTACAATGTTCTCTCTCCAATTCAGTCTGAATCTTAACATTATCATCAGACAGGCAGTCAGCGGTTCTAGATTTGTTCGTACAATTAACTGCATAACCCCTAGGGGTGTCCGAAGCTTTGTTCACCGATTCAATTCAGAGAAAATTCGGCCTAATTCAGAGGCCGAAACATCAAATCTGAATTGAATTGGGAGACCCATAAAAACCTCCGAATCGATTCGAAGCATCTGAATCAATATGGAAAAGATTCGGAAAAAGATTGGGAGATTCAGCAGTTTCAGAAGACAGTTTTGCAG